AGTGTGCTCCGTTTGACCCAACCGTGTCATTGTGCCCATGTGACCTGACCTGACCATGACCTACCGCCGGTGTGCCCGTGTGACCTGACCTGACCATGACCTGTCGTCAGTGTGTCCGTGTGACCTGACCTGACCGTAACCTGTCCCCAGGGTGTACGGCGTGTCGGGCCTGCGCGTGATGGACGCCTCCGTCATGCCGTTCGTCACGTCCGGCAACACCAACGCGCCCGTCACCATGATCGCCGAGAAGGGCGCCGACATGGTTCTCCGGGGACTGTAGACTGGCGCCGACTCGGTCCTCCGGGGACTAGACTGGCGCCGACATGGTCCTCCGGGGACTAGACTGGCGCCGACATGGTCCTCCGGGGACTGTAGACTGGCGCCGACATGGTCCTCTCCGAGGACTGTAGACTGGCGCCGACATAGTCCTCTCCGAGGACTGTAGACTGGGGCCGACATGGTCTTCCGGAGTCTGTAGACTGGCGCCGACATGGTCCTCTCCGAGGACTGTAGACTGGCGCCGACTCGGTCCTCCGGGGACTAGACTGGCGCCGACATGGTCCTCCGGGGACTAGACTGGCGCCGACATGGTCCTCCGGGGACTAGACTGGCGCCGACATGGTCCTCCGGGGACTGTAGACTGGCGCCGACATGGTCCTCTCCGAGGACTGTAGACTGGCGCCGACATAGTCCTCTCCGAGGACTGTAGACTGGGGCCGACATGGTCTTCCGGAGTCTGTAGACTGGCGCCGACATGGTCCTCCGAGGACTGTAGAGGAGTCGGCGCCAACTTCAGATGACGTCGGAGGCCGATGAAGATGGAGCTTTGGTGGAGGCAGGAGGAGCTTTGGTGAAGGCAGCGTAGCCGTGTAATGCGACTCTCCGGCAAGGGCGTGGGGACTCATGCCTGTCGACTGTGGCACACGACTCACGTCAGATGAGAGGAGCTCGTGTGAGCCCAGCAGTCGGGCACAGCCGCGGGCCGACTGTGAGCGGCTGTCATGGTTAGGAAGGCAACAGGCAACGGAGGCTGCTTCCATTCAGGCATATGCGGTCAGGTCCCGGTACTCAGACACGAGTTACCTGGGTCTATGTGTGGTGTATATCTGTCGCAGGGTACGGACTGGGACCGTATTTCAACCATTGGGACCAAGGTTTGGCGTGGCCGAGCCAAGGTATTCAGGTGCACAAATGCCTAGTTATGGCCCTGACTGGGTTATTTACGCTGCGCGGCTGGCTGGAGAAAGCTGGTGCCGCGGGCCGGAACTGCTGGTGTTTTTCCCAAAGGGATATGAAATTCGTTATCAGAGGACGTGATTTGGGCCATTCTGGTGGGCCAGCACTGAGAGCTGCTGGTTCGGGCGGCGTCAGATGCAGCTCGGGCCGCATGATCACGCTGATGGCTGGGGCGAGGGCTTAGGCCGCTGTGTCGGGCGGCGTCAGATGCAGCCCGGGCTGCGTGATCACGCTGATGGCTGGGCGAGGGCTCAGGCCGCTGGTTCGGGCGGCGTCAGACGCAGCTCGGGCTGCATGATCACGCTGATGGCTTGGGTGAGGGCTTAGGCCGCTGTGTCGGGCGGCGTCAGACGCAGCTCGGGCCGCATGATCACGCTGATGGCTGGGGCGAGGGCTTAGGCCGCTGTGTCGGGCGGCGTCAAATGCAGCCCGGGCTGCGTGATCACGCTGATGGCTGGGGCGAGGGCGCAGCGTTGGTCGCTTTGAGCCAGACGACCCGGCCGCGTCGTCTGACGAGACCGGGGCGTGGCGGGTGCGGGCCGAACAGGCTGGACTCTACGGAGTCCACGGAGGCAGCGTCAACCCCTCACCGCACACCGTGGCGCTAGGTGGGCGCTGATGTCCCATTGTTTCCCTGATTTACTGTACATTGGCCAGCGACTACCGAATGTGACTCGTGGCTATCGTGACCATGATGGAATACTGTGACAGAAGTGCGTTGGAAATGCTGCTGGTTTGCTACTTAGCATCATTTCGATGCAGTGCCGCCCTCGTTGATTGACTGTATGCTTTATCCATCAGAGAAGTTCTAGTGCGAGTGTAGGGAGGCAGCTCAAGGCGTTGGTTTTCTATGCTTTATATTACGGCGTCGTATGGGTGTACCCCGTGTGCCGCAATCGTATGGGTGTACCCCGTGTGCCGCAATCGTATGGGTGTACCCCGTGTGCCGCAAACGTATGGGTGTACCCCGTGTGCCGCAATCGTATGGGTGTACCCCGTGTGTCGCAATCGCATGGAAAACAGCACATTCCGCGTAATAGTGGAATCGTAATTGGACGACGCAGGATATGAGCATAAATGCTACAGTGTTGCATACTGCAATGAAGGCGGGTGGAATGACACTCTGCCATACCATGTAGTGGTGGTGGTTAGATTGGGTTGTATGGGTCACCTGCAACAGGAAAGTGTGGTATTTTCACACTCAGTCATCAGCTCAGGGCAAGATTCGTGTTTCACATCTTAATGTGGGTGGGTCGCTTCGAGCTTAGCTGAGCTTACCAGCGCAGGGTACTAAAGCGATCGCCAGTGGGTCATGATAGGTGCCTTGATTGTCCGAGAATTGGAGCATACATCGTGACTGTACAGTCACGCAGCTGTATGGCACAGGGTATTAACACCATTTGTCATAGTGTGATGCACCTTGATGTGGCCGCATGCTATAAAAGTGAGACATATCATGTAGTTACGGTGCCTTTTATCCAGGTCTTCATGACTGCAGCGACTCGAATATTGCGATCATTTAGCAGTTGATGTACAGTGTCTGCGATGAGTGGCAATTCGCTTCAGCGGATGATTTTGGCGATGTGCGTATTGCCGCCTGAGATGGCTGCTGCGCCGCAGTGTTCAGCACGCAGCCTTAGTGCGCATCGCACGCGACATGAGATTGGAGAGCGGTTTCTTCCTGGTACTGACGGAAAAGGCTTGATACTATCGCTTATTACGGTGACGCTACTAAGCTAATTCGTCTTGCCTTTCAGTAGCGATGCCTCGTGATTGCCATCGGCTTCATGTGACTCATTTTCCCATGTGAGCTGATGGCTGTACTGCAGACAGCTGCGCTGTCTTCTCTGTCAGATTCCGTATCGTGTCTTTTCCCCGGGCCGCGTCAGAGACACTCTGAATGTGATTCACGTCGGTGCGGATCAATAGACAAATACACCGGGCTCAACTGGGGTTGTCTTGAGGTTGTTCAAGTGAGGTTTGTCTCCCGACGAAGCGCGCTCCCCGGGGCCGCAGCTGAAGAGCAGCAGCAGTGCACGGTCTCCGCCGCTCGGCGTGGGGCCCGGCGTCCGCCCGGCCCGTCTCGGTGATGTGTGGGGGCCGGGTCGGAGGGGGAGGGGCTTCATCGCGACGCCATCCGCCACGGCCCCGCCCCGCGGAGAAGATATATGATAGAGAAGATATACGATTCCGCCAATATATATATATAATATATATATATATTTCTATATTATATATATATCTATATATATCGCTCTCTCTCTCTCTCTCCGCTCTCTCTCTCCTCTCTCTATTCTCGCTCTCTTCTCTCTCTCTCTCTCTCTCTCTCTCTCTCTCTCTCTCTCTCTCCTATTCCTCCTCTGCCTCTCTCTCTCTACGTATACTCTCTCTCTCTCTCTCTCTCTCTCTCTGCTCATCTCCTCTCTTCTCTCTACTCTCTCTCTCCTCTATCCTCTCTCCGAGTATATGATGTATGGTGCCTTAAGCGCAGATATATGTATATATATATATATATATATATATATAATATATATATATCTATATCTATATCTATATCTATATATATATCTATCTATCTATCTATCTATCTATCTATCTATCTATCTATCTGCGTTTCTCTGTATGTGGGGGTGTGCGTGCGTCCCTGCGTGCATTCGGGCGTGCCTGTGGGTGTATCATTTAAATGATGTGCACATAATTCTGGGGTACAGCGATTGTTTGGGGCCCGTTCAAACGCAGCGCCCACTTAAAGCTATTTGTGGAGCTTGAGCTTCTTCATCAGTGGCTAGCTGTACCCGCACACGCGGCCTAAAGGAGGGATGCAGTCCGAGAGAGGGACCGAGCGCGTGCGCCAGCCCACTTTGAGCGCGGGGACTACACGGTCCCGCAGTCGGAGCGCAGGCACACGCTGGTCACCAGGCGGCAGCTAGTGGGCAGCCGCACTGCCAGCCCTGCAGCTGCCCTGCCACGTCGCCGGAGGGGGGACGACAATCATTTGAGGCCTGCAAATGTCAGACCGGCTGCCAGTGAAAGGAGCGCTGCTCGATTACGTCGATCGTGAGCCGCAAAGTTCACGATGTGAACCGCAGGCGGGGTCAGACCGGGCCCCGTTCTTCACTGCACACGTGCAAGTTCATTCTCTAAAGCCAGTGAGCCTACTGGATCTGTAGCGTAGCCTAGATAGTAGCGTAGATCTGTAGCGTAGCCTACTGGATCTGTTCTCTCTGCGCGTCATTCATGTGCCCCATTGTAGCGCAGCTGCGCTCTGAAGAACGAGGCTCTGCTGCCACCGGCGCAGGACAAGTGGGAGACTGGTTGACGGGGGGGGGGGGGGGGGGGCAATGGCACCTACCCGGCTTCATCGAGGCTTCATAAGGGAGACAAACAGCAATGTGGTCTCAGCTGGAAGACATTGAAGACTAACGTCCAAATGACAAATTCTCCTTGAGATACCTTGATGTACAGCCAGCAATTTGCATGTCCTCATCCATTGCTAGGTTCCATCGCCTAATAATTCCACATTAGCAGCGCGTCAGGCCTGATGATGCGTGGCGCGAGCTGACACATCCGGTTAGCGCCGTCCGCCAGAGGCGCCGTCGGCCTCCGCCGCGTTTGACGCGACCGTCAGTCAGCGAGGGCGCGCCCTGTCGGGGCAAATGTCAGCGCACTCCGCGGAGAGCACGGAAGGTCGGCGGCGGGTGACCCGCCGGACCTGGCTGAGGGGCGGGCGGCGCCGGGGCCGGCCGGTGGGTGGCAAGCGGGGGACGGCGGGTGTCAGCGACGCCGGAGACGTGCGACAGGCCGGGCGGAGAGCGGACGCTATCGACGGCGCTCGGGGACGGCGGGAGCGGCGCGGTCGGAGTGCAAGGCAGAAGTCAGGAGTAGACGGTGAGAAGGTGGCACGAGAATAACGCGGCAACGCTCGCAAAACTGTTGTGACGCGGCTGGAACAGTAGGGTTCGCTGCCAGCGTAGGCTTTGCTGTTGTCCGCAGGCTCTTACCTCACTGTTGCGTTCAGGCTGTTAGCTCGCTGGTGCCCTCAGGCTGTTACTTCACTGGCGCCCTGAGGCCTCGTTGCCGGCGGCCTCCCCCAATGTCGCCTTTTCAAAACTTTCTCCGTCCACTTCAGCGCTATTGGACGTCGCTAGGATATTGAAATATGTTATGCTGTCGTCCCCCTTCCCCTTCAAGCGCGTTACAGTAGCGTTGAAGGCTACGCAGACACGCTGCCCATGACAAGCGAGCGTAGCCTGTAAATTACCAAATGGGCCAGACTGCTTACGCGGCTTAAACTTCTGCCAAACTTCTGCTGGCAGGTCTGCTAAGCAGTGCTTTGAAATCTGCCTTGTACCGAGATGTGTAACGCGGCAATTACGAATTGTGCCGTGTGGTCGCGGGAGCTGCTTCCAGTCGTTCAAGCACGTCATTCAGTGCCGAGAAATGTCACAGTCCTCACTGAGTAACCTCCGTTCCACAGGGCCCCCTGCCACCGGCAGAGCTTCACACCATGGTTCTGGGACGTCCTTTCCTCGTCGCTGGCCTGGTTCTGACGGTGCGTACTAGAGCCGCATGTCTCAGTAGAGCAGCCACTCTCACGAGACGGTGTCTCTTCGAGGGGAGGGAATTTTATAAGTTTGTTTCGATGGCTGCAAGCGTTTCGTGCGGGCAGGCCAGCTCAGTGACGGAGATCCCTCGGTAAGGCAGGGAATCCTCTCAATGAATTTCTATTTTGGGACTTCATGCCAGTCACTGGACATTGTTTTGGCAAGGCTACCCCTCCTCCCAGCCATGAGTAAAAGCGGACACTCATGCGAGGAAGGCATTCAGCTACGTCAAGGCTTACTGCAGGCATCACGTGCGTGCAGGCATTAATCACACATTAACAGCGGGAGGTCTGGTCAACGGAGGCCGTATCAGCGGTATGCTGGACAATGAATGAACTTGTGAACAGCTCGGAGCCATATCCTTGGATGTATCAGACTCAGTCGAAAGCAACTCAGTTCTTGAATTTTCCCCTCCCCAAACCGGGTGGGAAGAGGCACCCACCCTCCTCTCTCCCCCTCCAGTCACAATTCGCTCATTTCGCGGAAAATGACACAAAGTGGTTTCAACATTGCGCGTGTATTGCCGATGGCTTACACGGAGCCGACTACAGCAGTAGCGTGGGGGCTTGAAACACAAAGCACCGAGCATCCGAGGGCGGCCCGCCCGCCTCCTCGCATGGGCAGCAAGCAGGCAGCCACAGCCTCAGGACGCCGGCCAGCTGTCATTCCGGCTCGGTCGGCGCGGCGTAGCCCGCGGCCACAGCCCTGCGCTGCCAGTAGCTGCACATAACACACGGGCTGGCGTCGAGGCGTCACGCGTTAATCGGGAACCCTGTCTCTTAGGTAAGCGCATCCCAAAACATGGGCTTGCATCAACTCAGACCGTCCTCAACAGTCTGTCATGTCTCCCCAGGGCGCCGTAACACGGACCGTGTTACGGTTCGGCATCTCGCGCCTTCCGAACACGGACCGTGAAGAAAAACACCAGCAGTGCTAGACCAACGCACATATAGTGACATGAAAAACCACGCTCAAATCGGAAGATATGGAGACATCGCTGGTGTAATATACTGCGGGCAAGCATGAGATCATATATGCCTTAACGTGTTCTTAAATGTTATACGAAGCGTCAGCGCCCAAACCGCATCGCGACACCTCGTCCAACCGCGTTTTCCACGTAAACATACCCTTGTGTGCAGCTTTTCAAACGCGACTGCTGACCCTGCAATGATGTCGGACCGTGCATCTCCAAAACGGCGCTTCACCGCAAAAACAAAACCCCTTACCCGTCAGGGAGCTGTACATACACACAGACTTCAATATCAATATGAGATCAGAATCCAACCGAGACATCGAGCACACAAAACGCACCAAAAAATACACCAGGCACAGACATTTACAAACAGTGCCTCATACACATAATACGTTGTTTGGGAAGGTCGCTAGGTTATCTCACGCGGATAATTCAGACCTATCGACTTCTTCGTTTAACAAGTGCACGACCTGTCAACAACTCAGAAATGGACGGAATCGTTATCTCGTTCACAACTTGCCCCCGCCGTATCACATCGGACAAGCCTGCATCACGAACATGGAAAAACACACAAAACCTCTCCGGCGCGAAGAACCTCAAGACTAGACAGCACGTGACTAGACAATGATGGGAATATCGACTAGAAGCATTGCCCATCTCCGACTAGAGTAAAACGCCGCACAACGCAGCATTAGACGCAACAGACCACCTCACAAGCGCGGGCGATGGGGAAGGGTACTGCGGGGGGGGGGAGGCGGGCCCTCAGCGATGTGGACCCTGCGGCCCTCCTGCCCTCACCCTAGTCCCGCGTTCTCTGCGGGTGCGGTGTGGACACCGCGGGACACCGCTCCCAACGTGCCAGGCCAGCCAGCGGGCCGCCGCTTAGTTTGCCACTGGACCGCTAAATGAGCGTGTAGTCAACGCTGCATAGTTACAGACGGCGCCCAGATGGAACCAATGTAAGTGACATCGCAGCGGCCAGCTCGGCATACGCCATGCACGGCGGAACTCTGACTGAGTTTGCATGCATGCTGGGCCTCTGAGACGTGGCTGAGATTCAACCTACACTGCACCCCACAAGCCCACAACGCCACCCTCGTCGATAATGGGGTACGGCCGTGTCTCCCAAAGACCAGCTGCGCATCCAGCGCACCGCGCAGTCCCGCGCCGCCGCCGCTGCGCCGCTCCCGCCGCGCCGCTCAGTGTTTGCCGCAGACCCAGGAGCGGGGCGGCTCCTGGGTGCGCTCGGCCGTCACCCAGCGGCACTGGCAACAGTAGGCGCGCGCGCCCGGCCGCGCCTCCAGCGCCGCGCGCAGCTGCTCGCCGTGAGGGTGCCGGTTGCGGAAGAACAGGTAATCGGCGCGCGCGCCCCACGCGGCCCCCTCGAAGGCCAGCACGCGCCAGTCGCAGGCTGTGCAGCGCAGGGCGCCGCAGCCGGCGGCCGGCGCCAAGCTGCAGTTGCGGCCCAGTGCGACAGGCGGCGCCACCAGGAGGGCGCGCTGGCAGCGCCGGCTCGGCGCGGCGGCGGCCGCAGGCGGTGGCGGAGGAGGCGGCGGTCCCTGGGAGACGGGCACGTCTCGAAGCAGGGCGTCTGCCTCTGCCAGCAGCGTGTCCAGCTCGTCCATCGCCGTGGTGAAGAGACAGCTGGAATGTCCTAGGTGTCTGGGGTGAAAGCACCTGTGTGAGGGAAAGAGTGTGGCAATGCCATGTGGGGCAATGCACAGCTTCAGCATGCCTTAACTATGGCTTCACCCCCGCAAGAACTGTATGGGTATGGCGAATGACTTTTGATCATGAACCTTGAAATACGATTTGCACCCCAGGTTCCAACATTCTGCTGAACCTGGTCAACTATTTCCAGACACACCATTTCTTACCTTTGCTGTGCAAGAGTCCCTGGCTCTCCACTGTAACCTGAAAATTAGGCAAGCTTAAACCACAGCCATAATGTGCTATCCAACAGCTTGCATAAGACAAGCTATTTGATACACACAACAGCCAAGCATACAGCCTCATCAAATGCCTTAAAGCTTTAACATAACCTAAGACATACCACATTACACTTACTGACATAGGGGCCATTGTTCATGATCAGTGAATGATGGGGTGCTCACAATAAAACAATCAACTCAAAAACAGAAAAAAACATACTGTTATCATGTGAAAACAGAATGGATCAGGTAAAAGGATACTAATGACCACAAGATGTCTTGGCTTTGAACCACAAATGCATACCTTGATAAGAACAAGCCCACCAAAGCATATTCCAAACATCAGTTTCCAGAAGAGGGGAAAACTTTGATTCTAAGACATCCTTCCCAATCCAAAACAACAGGAGAACAATGAAAACACAATCACTTTACAATGTTTTTTTTCCTGAAGCGCATGCTTGTCCATTCACTGGTAATTTGTCTGACAGCCATTCACTGAAGTCTGGAATTTTTTTAAACAATTTATGACCTATAACATGCCTCAGCAAATTCACACTAGAAATAGACCAGCACTATGCTTTTAATTTGTATAACAACCAGTTATAAACAACATGGATAATGCAGATATCACTACAATGAATATCTTTTAATTACTTTAAAACTCTTGGGCTATATGCTTAAGTATTACAGACCAATGGAACAATATTCGCTCCATTTACAATGCATTTGAAGATATTGTTGCTATATCCTACATGCCAGGGTCAAAGTTCAGACATTGCTGATAATGCCACTATGGTTGAGGGTACCACCAAGTGTGTCTGTTATGCATTAAGAAAAGCATACATTTATTCTCTCATATACCAGTTCACAAAGCTCTATTTTTTCATTTCCTTTTATGCTATTTTCTAAAAAATAGGTTTAAACAGATCCCACAGGGATGTACAGCCTAGTTGAAGTAACCACACAAGGTGCTTTAAGTCATCTAACCAGTGCAATGCAATGCAGCTGATGACATTTGCACTGCCCCATGCTAGAAGCCATAAAATGGAAAGGTATACATAAGCACAATAGCCGCATAGTGTAAAACATTGTGTTTATCAGTTAATGAACTCCTTGTTGGAAGAACAAAATTAGGACCAACAAGGTCAGCTTTGAGTTGCCTTGCAATCATAACATCCAGAGAATAAAACATGTTGGTCTTTCAAGCCGAAGAAAATGATCAAGTGGTAGCATTTTTCAACATGCATTTATTGAATTTTTAGCACATTTTGGCAACAACAAATGCAACTCAGGCCAGGCCAAATTGCTCTGAATTTTCAAGCTACTTCTGCATGAAAAATGCTTTTGGAATATTTTTGGCCTGAAATCACTTTAGCAGCATACTTCCTTCATACACATAATGACCTTTGTGCATTGAAATTCACTGAGTTCACTGAATTTTGAGCTCAATGATTTGTGTACATATGCTTAAAGTGTTATCACATTTACACTACCCTGACACACTCATCATTACATACATCTTTATGTAAACTGGACTTAACCCCTCTAATGCAAGCACCATTAACAAAAAGATGTAGCCTAGGTGAACGTGCGTACCTCACTTTGTGAGAACACACTGTACATGATACACCTTCTTCCAAAGAACCTAAAAAGTTGGCAAAAGAACACATTACATACGACCCAACGTTGTCGGATCGTAGAGGAATGCCAACACCTTACCAGAGTTAAATAGGCTGCAGCAGTTCCCACCTGTCACTTGTGCTGCCTCTTGCGCTTGTTTTGAACTCTGTCTACAGCGCTCTTTTCCGCCAATGGCAAGGCCAACAAACTACTAATACTATCTCTAGCAGCCCTGGTACCATCCTTTGTTTTTGTGCAAATGTTTGTCCCTGAATGCTCTATGGGAAACAGCTGATTCTGAGCGCCTACTATAAGCGCTGCCAGATACTCGAATGGATAGAGAGAAATTGATAGATTGTAAAAAACAATATCCTATTTATCCTTACCCCGAGCGGTTTTACAGGTATACGTGAGATCAGCGCTAAGAAGGGCTTCTGTTTTGCTCTTCACACGCAGTTGAAGCTGGGCTGTTCGCTGTTATGCATCGGTCATTTTGCATAACGGCCCTCTGATCAGGGCGGTGCAGAGTATCCTGTTGAGCCCCATACGCTGCAGCCCCAGTCTTCTGCTATCTTTCTCGATATACTGGAACATTAACGTTGATTTGATTGAAGGTACTTTTGGGCCAAGAGTTCCAGGTGGCTGCCATGGCCTCCTATACCAAGAGGCGAATGTATCTACTACCCGTAGCTCTCCGCGGCAAAGGAGCCATGCCGGGTGAGGGAGGATGGGTGTGGCAAGAGTTCTGAGCCAATCTGAACTGGGAAGAACTGATGAGATCATGCAACTCGATGTGTGCGCTCACCTGTAACGTGTATCTGACGACGTTCTTTGAATATGCCGCAGGTGCTTCTGCATTCGACAACCGCACAAACTGCACGACAAAGTAAGAACCGAGCACGTTGAGTGGCATAAGTCCACTAACTGAGGCGTTGTCAGGGACTCATAAACCAGAGGCTCAAATTCTACATCACTGTTATCAGGATTTTCCAGAAGGGTATTTCCATGTGCAAGCTGTGATACTATTTGTGTCCATCCTCCCATGTTGTGTCTGCCAAGAGCCAAACACGCGTTTGCGTTGTAAGCGTCATCGACCGGACCCAACAATAAAGGGAAGGTGGTGTCGATGACGAATGACAGACTGACTTTTTCCAGGGGTGCACAACTCGCTGAGGATGTACAAACCTCTTCTGCATGATCCGGAGGTGAGATGTCACGCACGCACCTCCCGTCACGCGCTGAGAAGGGGTGAGAGGGAGAGGCATCCATACCTCTGAGACGTTTCTCTCCATGCGCCCATACAACGTAGAAGTCGATATGTTCCATTCCGGGGAAGTTGGAGGATGCGCCCCCGTCTCTCTTCCGGTGACAGGGCCCTCCGGGGTGACAGATGCGACCCCCTGCCGTTTCCAAACTAAGAAAGACGTCGCTTAGCGGGAAACACCAGTGAGTTACTGCTAACGAGATTTCGCGGTTGGAAATGAGTTTGTTGTCGCCAGTTCGATGATTGGCCCCGTTTTGCCAGGTAAAAGCCAAAATCTTCCCGAAGATGGAATTTTTCAGCTTTACATGTTGCTGTGTACGAGACCATACCTCGTAGCGATTCGAAACCTGAACAGGTGTATTCCTTGTTGAATTAATAATACGATGGTGTGGTTTTATATGATTTGTGCGTATATATACATAAACGCAAGTATATATATATATATATATATATATATATATATATGTATATATATATATGTATATATATATATATATATATATATATATGTTTCATGGTTACTTTAACGCAAAACATCGGCCGCGTGAAATCATCGGGTGCTGCCCGCCACCCACGCCGGTCGGAGATCACCGTACACTGTTCCCAAAGCTGTTTCTGCTCCAAAATGAGAAGACCTAAGAACACGTGCTTGGTGCTAAAACATGCGCAATGGACGCCCCATAGGCTACTGAAAATTTGGGTGCGATTGGGGGCCATGCTGAAGGGGTATCCTCCGAAAACCTTAAAGGGTCACACCGCCCCCACCTCCAACCGACCCCTATTTAAAAAAAGGTGTCTCAGCGTCACCTTTAAGCGTATCCTTGTACCCCTACATTTGTCATCACAAATCCTGAACATCACATTTCAGCCGCTTGCGAAAATTGTTTTAGTATGATTCAGCTGTCCAAGCTTCGCGTCCGACGGGCCTGTCGCGCCGAGGATCCACCCTTGGCATATTTGGTCAGGGCGCTTCGTGTCGATTTGTATAACAACTGGGTTTGACTGTATCGAGTGCGGGGACAGAGTTGCAATTCATTGGGGGGATGGGGGGCGGAAGCGGGAGGAAGAAGTGGACCAGATCCGGGAAGAAACCCGTTGTTGGTGGTTTTGCGGTAGGTTTCGCTGTTCGATTTCCAGTCCCCCCCGCGGTTGATTTTGTGAAGCCACACCTCTGATGTAACAATTTCCTAAACACAGACTATGCCGGGATCCGAGGACTTTGAAATATATTTAGACTGTATTGGGTTCAAGGCTCAATGACAACCTCATAGTACACTGGCAGCAAATCAAACATCTACTCATCAAGCAGCAGGGAAGCTTGTCGGGTTGGGTAGACGAAGAACTGCAGCTGTGAGCACTGAATGGAGCTGTCACATCTGCCCAAACAGCCGCTGTGTTTTCCTTCGTCGGTGGGGTGACAGTCCTCTGAGCTTTTGTGACGAGCTCTTGGACGGACGGACGGACGGACGGACGGACGGACGGACGGACGAACAGACGGCACTAGGCGGACGGACGGACGGACGGCGAATAGACGAACAGACAGCACTAGGCGGACGGACGGACGGACGGACGGACGGACGGCGAATAGACGAACAGACAGCACTGGACGGCGGACGGACGGACGGACGGACGGACGGACGAATAGACGAACAGACAGCACTAAACGGCGGACGGACGGACGGACGGACGGACGGCGAATAGACGAACAGACAGCACTAGGCGGACGGACGGACGGACGGCGAATAGACGAACAGACAGCACTAGGCGGACGGACGGACGGACGGACGGACGGACGGCGAATAGACGAACAGACAGCACTGGACGGCGGACGGACGGACGGACGGACGGACGGACGAATAGACGAACAGACAGCACTAAACGGCGGACGGACGGACGGACGGACGGACGGACGAATAGACGAACAGACAGCACTAGGCGGACGGACGGACGGACGGACGGCGAATAGACGAACAGACAGCACTGGACGGCGGACGGACGGACGGACGGACGGACGGACGAATAGACGAACAGACAGCACTAGGCGGACGGACGGACGGACGGACGGCGAATAGACGAACAGACAGCACTAGGCGGACGGACGGACGGACGGACGGACGGACGGCGAATAGACGAACAGACAGCACTGGACGGCGGACGGACGGACGGACGGACGGACGGACGAATAGACGAACAGACAGCACTAAACGGCGGACGGACGGACGGACGGACGGACGGCGAATAGACGAACAGACAGCACTAGGCGGACGGACGGACGGACGGCGAATAGACGAACAGACAGCACTAGGCGGACGGACGGACGGACGGACGGACGGACGGCGAATAGACGAACAGACAGCACTGGACGGCGGACGGACGGACGGACGGACGGACGGACGAATAGACGAACAGACAGCACTAAACGGCGGACGGACGGACGGACACGGACGGACGAATAGACGAACAGACAGCACTAGGCGGACGGACGGACGGACGGACGGCGAATAGACGAACAGACAGCACTGGACGGCGGACGGACGGACGGACGGACGGACGGACGAATAGACGAACAGACAGCACTAGGCGGACGGACGGACGGACGGACGGCGAATAGACGAACAGACAGCACTAGGCGGACGGACGGACGGACGGACGGACGGACGGCGAATAGACGAACAGGCAGCACTGGACGGCGGACGGATGGACGGACGGACGGACGGACGAATAGACGAACAGACAGCACTAAACGGCGGACGGACGGACGGACGGACGGACGGACGAATAGACGAACAGACAGCACTAGGCGGACGGACGGACGGACGGACGGCGAATAGACGAACAGACAGCACTGGACGGCGGACGGACGGACGGACGGACGGACGGACGAATAGACGAACAGACAGCACTAGGCGGACGGACGGACGGACGGACGGCGAATAGACGAACAGACAGCACTGGACGGCGGACGGACGGACGGACGGGCGAATAGACGAACAGACAGCACTAGACGGACGGACGGACGGACGGACGGACGGACGGACGGACGAACGGCACTAGACGGGCGAACGGACAGGATAGCACGGAGGAGGTGGAGCCTATGCATTATAGCCGGGTGGTTGTACGTGGTGGTTCCGTTCGGTGCAGTAAGCACACTCTGTGCCGCTGGCTCGTTTTTCGATTCACGTCTGCTGGCATTTCCATGCACATCTGCTGGCATTTCAATGCTCACCCATCTTTCCAGACCGTCTTACTGCTGCTCCGACTTATACGGCATCTGAATAGGATCATGCCTAGGGTAAGTGAAGCGTAGAAATGGAAAAGAAATGGAAAAGACCATGCCTGTCGGAAGGAAGCCAAAAAAACTGATATGAACAACGCAGGTAAATATTTTGTGAGCTTTGGAAACACTTCGTCGCAACTTTCAGGCTTTTTTTGCATTGACATTCGCCGATCTTACACGTTGTGACTTTTAAACAACATCTGTAACAGCCTGTACGTAATGTCTTGGACGTGTTGTTCGTGCTGGAAAAATAACATTATTTGCCCTGGGACCGCACCTAGGTACGGCCAGTCTCCAGCTCGCACGGCGTCATTGGCCCCAATTCCGCGCCGCACCCTGGAGTCGGTGATGGCACCGGATCAAGGCCCGGCCCCAGCTCCGGCCCCAGCCCGAGGCCCGGCCCCAGCTCCGGCCCCGGCCCGAGTCCCGGCCCCAGCTCCGGCCCCGGCCCGAGTCCCGGCCTCAGCTCCGGCCCCGGCCCGAGGCCCGGCCCGAGGCCCGGCCCCAGCTCCGGCCCCGGCCCGGGGCCCGGACCCAGCTCCGGTCCCGACCCGAGGCCCGACCCGAGGCCCGGCCCGAGGCCCGGCCCCAGCTCCGGCCCCGGCCCGAGGCCCGGCCCCAGCTCCGGCCCGGGTCCGGTCACTGTCGTCATCCGAAGGGTAAGCTAATTAGAATCTGCCTTTGTTCTCAAAGCAGACGTGTGTGCTTGTGTGCGTGCTCAGCTCAGCTCATCTCAGCTCAGCTTAGCTCAAAGGTGTTGGTGCGGAGCGCATCACTCGTTGTTACGAGCATCGACATGGTCTTGAATTATGGTCCACCGAGACCTGATTACCGTACTTTGTAGGCAAGGTTACAGGAAGTGAAGTCGTAGAAAATGGGCATTTTGTCCCACACCCAGGGAATAATATTTTCTTGGGCGGGGCGAGATGCTGCCTGTGTTGTGTCACATCATTCGGTGGCTTATATTCTATGCAAACAGCTATTTTTGCGCAACGGACCACATCAGTGTGCACCTTCAAGCATCACTATGCACACTCTGAGTTCCTTGGCATCTGGAGCATAGCCAGATAAAACTGCGCGCATTGGCGACCTTGGTATCTAGATGATGGGATTATCCCTCATGTTATCATCCCTCATCGCCGGTGTTAAATGGGTCACCGGGTCTGAGCCAGATTCTAGCTAAATCTGTCTGTAAGTTACTGTAAGGCCCGTCCCTCTATCTGACCTGAAAAGCAGGCCACACACAAGCACCAGCTCACATTTTCTGTCGGATCTTCATTTCCGAGCGAGAAGTACATAGATCAAAATGGTCCTACTGGCCTGGGCACCAATGCACGCAATTTGGCACCATAGCCAGAAGGCACATGATAAACGTGGCCTCATTCTTAACCATAGTCAAACAAATCGTAGCAAAGCCTGTTAAATATTGCGAAAACCATGGCAGAGTGGATTAACTCGAGGGAATGTTACCATGCGATGTCCCCTTCCCCCTGCCCCCCTCCCGAACAACACGCCTCTCAAGTAACGCTGTTCGAGCTATCATGGCCTCGGCGCGACAGTGCCTTAAGGGCCGAGTGCATCTCTCCACAGAGCCTCACCACCACCGACCTGCAGAACTTCAACAACAGACCGTCCAGGAGCGCGCAGCAGCGCGGCACGCAGGCTGTGCGCTCTCTGCCCACGTTCAACTGAGGGGCGCCAGGCCGGACGCGGCCAGCTCGCCACGGCCAGTCGCAGCCAGAAGAGCGCCCCAGCCCCCGGGCCGGGACCGGACTTGGGACCGGACCTGGGACCGGACTCGGGACTGGACCCGGGACCGATCCCGGGACCGGACCTGGGACAGGACCCGGGACCGGACCCGGGACCGGACCCGGGACCGGACCTGGGACCGGACCTGGGACCGGGTCCGGGACCGGAACCGGAACCGGACCCGGGACCGAACCCGGGACCGGAGCCTGTCGGTCAAGGGGCGCCCCAAGATCGCCGAAGTCTCCGGGTGTGCCGGCGCGTTTCTAGTCCCAGGAATGAAAGTAATTCCACATGATCATGAGGCTCTTGACAGACGCATGCTGTAGGTCCAGATCAATTTCGAGTTTCTTTCCAGCGGTGTTGGCTGGCTGGCGCTTAGCGCGGTGATGCTTTCAGGCTCCCACTGTACCAGCGAGGCAGCCGAGCGCGAGCAAATGCCATCTGTCTGTAACCCTGTACGCCTGCTCACGTCACCGCCTCAACCTTTACACCGTACCAAGCTTTCTGACCGCTCAGGCCGGCGCGGCATCGACACACAAATTTCATCAAATGCAGAGTGTCAAAACCGAAGCGATGCGAGAAATGCGTATGCTGTTGCGACTTGGCACAGCAATCGACCGAACGAACTGCCTGTTCTCGAACCTGTGTAGAAATAACCATGATCGCATCTGACGTAATAAACCCGATTCCTCAACGGTTTTGAATATGATGAAAGGGAACAACTCAATATATACATATATATATATATATATATATATATATATATATATATATATATATATATATATAGGAACTGAAGAAACAAGTTCCATGGCTATTGGGACAGCCTGACCATAAGCGGGGCTAAATAAAGTCCTATGAAGGGGCCGATGCGATGGCCAGATGTCCCAACAATCAAGCTCTTCGATGTTACTTGGCGGCTTCTACGCATTTGGGGGGTTATGGAAATATCATACTGAAGACACGGAAAATCGCCGAACCACCGGCGCTGTCCAACAGCCGCATCTCCAAATCCGCAAACTCCAGCACATCAGGCCCTGCAGCACGAGGTTCGTCTGCAAGACAATGTTGCAGGTAACAAATGCATGCTGAATGTATGCATGGGTGTATGCACAAATGAATGCATCGTAGCGTGGTATGCTTTCGTTACATCATTCGCTACTGATACTTTGTTGTTTCCCTGGTATTGCTGCATGCTGTTGAAAGTGATGACGATCGATGTTTTGGGGGGCCAACCGAAATCTGTGGTCATGTTGATGCAGTAGAATTCCAGTAGAAAATGTGGGAACGAGCAAATGTTTCAAAAACTTACTTCCGTTCCATCTCGGTATTTGCACGCACAAGATGCTAGTGTACTGCTGTGTTCGTGATTTTTCCGAGGGTTGTTTACTTTGCCGCCTATCATGAAACTGCTTTCATTCCTGCTAAAAAAAGTAGCCCGACAGCCTACCGGCAGCCTCCAGCATGTTCTTCGAAGGGAACGACGCACGCGGATCAGGATTCACATCAGGAACGTCATCTGGAGAACAGTCGGGGGATAGTGCCCAGTCAAGGTTGTCGCAAAACACTACAACCAACGCTCGGCACGAGAGTGTGGTTAAGTGTGTACGCACTGGAAAGCACACGCGGGTAGCCCCAAAATAAACCAGTCAAGTACATGAACATTTGTTTTGACTTAACTCCTAACGCAAAGGCTATTCAAATAGACAGGCTATAAAAGAGTGGTGCCTCGCGTGAGGGACCACTCTGCGATCCTGCGGCAGGCAAGCTCCAGCACCAGTCCCGCTTGCGTTAGTGTCACGCAAGTGTCAGTGTCCCGCTTGCGTCAGTGTCACACACGAGCGAACGAAGGCGCACCACAGTCTAGCCTGGAATGAACCAGGATGAGCAGCATGATCAATCAATGTTCAAATGAGCAAATGATCATTCTGACCTTCATCGCCCTGGGGCGACGCCTCCACCTGAGGTGTCCAGAAAATGGGAGCCCTTTTTAGTGAAGCCCAACTATCGTTTGCACCACGGTAAATTGCCACGCTTACACTGTTTGAAGCGCCATCTGTTGGCGAGCTCTGGTTGAAAGATAGAATAGTCTTTACAGTAGCCGGACAAGCTTTGGGCACGTTGTTTGGCCAATAGCATGGCGTTTTGGACTTCTCTTTTCTTGCTACAACTCATATCACGACAGTGGCGGCTATGGGTAACATGTACTAGCCATTGAGCCGACGCGTCTGGTACCCAGGCATAGAAGTTAACTGCAAATACTGTGCACGCATTTACAATGCAGTAAAACGGCATCTTCCGTGTGCACAGTTCTCTGCGACCAAAGCAGGCGAACTGATCTTGTTGGATGCTCGTCATCTGTATTTTGAGTATGGTGAGGGGTGTTGTGTCTGGTAGAGTCTTGG